AGGAATGCTCAAAGTGAGAGACTGCGTGTGGGTTTTGTGAAACAGCAACGGAATGAGTCTTGTTTAGCTGAGCTTACATTACGTCCTGTACCATGCTGGGGCTGCTCATTTATCCCCTCTAATTCTCACGATTTCCCTGAGAGGGATTTGTCTCCTTTAGCAGATGGAGAAATTTAGGTTCCCAGAGGTTAAATAATTGGCCAGTTGCCATGTTGACTTGGGGCTGTGAGTTGGTCCTTTCCATCCCAGAATAACAATCTAAAACACTTCCAGCCTAAGGACTGTTTCAGATGGAGCTAGTTATATCCTCAGTATTTCCAAACTGTTTGTTAGTTTTCAAACCTATTCCAAACCCACAGGGAGAGGGATTTTTCAAGCACCTGCTAGGGGTAATGTCAGGGCTCTTCCTGCTTCACTCATTAAGCTGTTGGTGTGGGTGTCACTAAGCTATGTTACAGACAAGGAGGGCCCTGAACCTGCAGGAGGTTAGACAGCTGCTAACTGGTAGAGTTTTTCTGAACTAAGGACTTCCGACCTGGAAACCTCGTGTTCTCTCTGACACTTTGGTGTCTTTTAGAAACTGCCGCAGAAACACTTCCAGGCAGCCTTACAGAAATTCTTTATTTACAGAGAAGGTGAGTTCCATTAATTTAAGGTGTGACCTTAACTGAGGTCTGCGTTCAGCATGGGCTTGTGGCTTAGCCGTGGGAATGGCTGGTTCACTGTTTCCTACTGGGTGGCAGTTAAGCCCAAAGGACTTCTCAGGGAGTGGTGCTGGGGAGCCGCAGGCACCCACGGTGTCACTGCCAAGATCTAAGGCATGGAGCCTGTGTGGCAGAAGGCCCAGAGGAGAGGTCAGGGGGCTGGGGTCCAGAGTGATGTGACCAGCTGTCCCTGGGGCACATTTCCAAGCCAACTCCACACCTCTGGGCATTTCCGTTTCTACCATACCGCCATTGTCACTTGGTCCAGTGTTTTGGGGTCCCTTCTGAGGGCTCAGGAGTGTATGGTACAGTGACTGTACATGGGGCAGAATAAGGGGGGAGATCCTGGGAGTCTGGATCGGAGAGCTGCCTGTAGATCTTTCTCTCCTGGCTTCCTGCCATTTCTGCTACAGGTGGCAGCGGTGGGAGTGAGAGTCAGGAGGAGGAAGAGGCTCAGGAGAGGAGCAGTAGCCCACCGCGGCCAGCAGTCTCAGCCCCGAGGGGGGCCGGTGCAACCGCTGAGGGAGCCCCACCAGAACAGCAGGAGTTGCAACCCCGACAGTTAGAACAGCAGCCAGAGCTGCAGCAGCAGCCACAGCAGGACCAGCTGCAACAGCTGCAGCCACGAGGCCAAGGGTCAGGACCTCAGCCAAACTCGCAGCATCAAGGCGGGCAAGAGCAGCTGCCTCGACCACAGCCGGAAAAACCCCAATCTGTGCGACAGGAGCCCCTGAAACCACAGCTGCAGCTGATGCAGCAGCAGAAACAGTTACAGGAGCAGCACATGCAGGAGCACCAGCTGTCACAGCAACAGCAGGAACAGCTCCAGCAGCAGCAAGGTGGGCAACAGCAGCTGCCTCAACAGCAGCAGGAACTACAGGAGAATCCCCAATCTGTGCAATATGAGCGGCGGAAACCACAGCCGCAGCGGCTGCAACAGCAGGAACAGTCGCAGGAGTGGCAAGTGCAGGAACAGCAGCTGCCACAGCAACCGCGGGAACAGTTACAGTCACAGCAGCTGCCACCACCACAGCAGCAGTTGCAACAGCAGTTACAGCAGGAACAGTCACAGCTGCAGCAGCAGCTGCAGCAGCAACAGTTACAGCTGCAGCAGCAGGAACAGTTGCAGCAGCTGCAGCAGCAGCAGTTACAGCAGCAGCGGCTGTTGCAGCAGCAGCAAGAACAGTTACAGCAGCAGCTGTTGCAGCAGCAACAGTTACAGCTGCAGCAGCAACAGTTACAGCAGCAGCAGCAGCTTCAGCAGCAACAGTTACAGCTGCAGCAGCAACAGTTACAGCAGCAGCAGCAGCTTCAGCAGCAACAGTTACAGCTGCAGCAGCAGGAACAGTTGCAGCAGCTGCAGCAGCAACAGTTACAGCAGCAGCAGCTGCTGCAGCAGCAGCAAGAACAGTTGCAACAGCAGCAGCTGCAGCCCCGGCCGCTGGAGCCAGAGGAGGAGGAGGAAGAGGTGGAGCTGGAGCTCATGCCGGTGGACTTGGGGTCGGAGCAGGAGCTGGAGCGGCAGCGGCAGGAGCTGGAGCGGCAGCAGGAACAGCGGCAGCTGCAGCTCAAACTGCAGGAGCAACTGCAGCAGCTGGAGAAGCAGCTGGAGCAGCAGCAGCAGCTGGAGGAGCAGCAGGAGGTGCAGCTGGAGCTGACCCCGGTGGGGCTGGGGGGCCAGCCG